TCTATTATATTAACGAAAAAATTATTGGTTTTAATAATTTATATATATATATATATATATATATATATATATATATATATATTTAACGTTTCTAACTGGCAAAAAGAAATCTTTATCTGCAAAATCAAACAAAAAGAACTTTACTTAAGAAAAATTAGTGTATTTCATAAACAATATGCGTAACAACATGCGTATATAATTAGAATTTCTCTTCATAAAATATTGTTTAATATATTAGTTACGCGTAAATTAAAATACGTTGCGCAGCATTAGTCATAACAAACGTGTTATAAAATACATAGATGTCGTATGGGTATGAGTAATGGGTAGATAAGATAAAAGTTTGTATAATTGGAAATCTTCTTCGAGATAAGAAAAAATGGGAATATGATGCTACTTTCGTTGCGAAATAAAGTTGCAGACTGAATCGCTGACCAGTCAGTTTTTGAAACGTACGTGTCCAGTGCAGTTCGTCATCATGACGCGTAAGATTTGTTTTATAAAGGTATGTTTCGCTAATAAAGATTAAATCCTAACTTCTTTTTTACTTTTTTTTCTCTACTTGGTTAATTCAATTTTCGATCGTTACAATATCTTAAACTACATATTTCTTGTCATGAACATTGTATTTATTAGTATTTTTATTTTCAATTTCTTAGATTATTATTATCTTTAATTTATTATTAATTTTTACTTTTAACTTTTTCACTTTGTTCTTCCTATTTCACATTCTTTTATATTTCTTTTTTTAAAGAAAACTTCATAATTGTAGCAAAATCTAACTAATTTTATTATAATAATATTTTTAATGCGTTTACTTACAGGTTATGTTTCATGTTGCGGGACTATTACTTCTGTGTAATTTTTTAAAAATTTGTTCTGGTAGACGTAGTTATCCTATAAATAATATAAATAGTAAGTTCAATATTACATTTAAGATGGTTGTATCGTTAGGTATTATATTTTTAGTAGTGTATCAAAAAGGGGTATCACTGATAAATATATTATTTATTTAACAAAATTATGCTTCTATATATATGCTATTTAAATAATAAATTTTAATTCGAAACGAAGATAATACATTCACAAAAATACACACACACACACATATATGTATATATGTATAATATGTGTACATGTGTGTGTGTGTGTGTATGGGTATTTATATATATACACACATATATATACAGGGTGCAACAATAACTATTACCAACTTTAATATTTTCGTATCTATATAGTCTAGAACATTTATGTAAAAAACAAAATTTCTTCAACCATATATTCTGCTATAACATAGGAATTCTTCAATTTATGTGGGCACGAAACTGTATCACGTTTAACTTATTTGTATGTATCTGTGTGTAAATAAATTTTCTATTTATTACAATATATAATCAATTTTTTCAAATTGAAGTTATTAATATGCTAAAATTATTAATCAATTTCTAATTATTAATGTGCGACATATTATTAAATAATATATCTTTTGTTACAAGACAAGTATTCTTCCCAAGACTTGTTTACATGCTCTAACGGTATACGCATAAAATCAATATTCAAATGTGACACTGATAATGATTGTGGTGACAACTCTGATGAAAATAACTGTAACTATAATGTAAGTATTCTGCTAATAATAAATAATGTAACTATAATGTATGTATGTACTTACAGTTGTAAGTACATTATAGTGTAATGATATGTTTAACATGTTCAATTTATTAACAGTATTGTTATTAATATTCCATTTTACAAAATAGAAATATCATACAATATATACACAAAAGACTTCTATTTCTTATATCAGTGCTCGGAAATATTTGTATAAATAAGTCAACTTCTGAGCAATACGCCTTTTTACTTTCTCTTATTGCTTCAGCTCGTCCGGCGGACTACGCAAATGATAGTCGTGGGGCCCGGCCTCAGGATTATTGATATTACGAAATCTATGAAGTGCATTCAATAGGTCTATTGATTAGATCTATTGGAAATAAAAGTACCAATGTCCGGACATGCATCTAATCATGGACACTTTCTTTATTTTGATCCTTAAATATACATATTTAAACTTTCAATATAAAATAAATGTACAAGTATTGAGTATATAAACATATTTTATGTTGATAGCTTAAATATTCATATTTATTGTCCAAAATAATAATAGTGTCCAGGATTAGGTACGTATCCGTAAATTAATAAACCTTTACCTTTACCTTTACTACTTAAAAAAAAAACACGCATCTGTAATAGTACTGTATTGGGTGACATGGAAACCTATCATCATGTCGTAATTTTAATGATACAAGTATATAAATGTATATTGCTAGCGAATAAAAATATCATATGTAAAAGAGTTGTTCCGATAACAACTTTTCAGATATTATAAAATAACTCACAGACTTCGTGATGTTATCAGTCCAAAGGCTGACCTCCGCGATCTCGCGGGTCAGTGCGTAATCCGCCGGGAGAACTGAAACGATAACGGGAAGTAAGAAGGCACAGCCCTCGAAAATCATCTCATTTATACAAATAATTACGAACACGGTTTTATACCAATCAGTTCACGTTAGTAATTTCAGTTTTCACTAATTATAAATTTCTTTAGTAAACTGATAGCTTACAAAAGAAATTCGTAAACCTAAAATACCCATAAGCCTAAATCTCAAAACGATACAAATACAGTTATCTACATTTTACATAAGTCATACATACGTCTACTGTTCAGACGAATAATCAAGTGATTTTTTTACAGGACAGAGCATGCTCTAAAAATAATTTTCAATGCACAAATAGGAATTGCATATCAAGAAAAAAATTCTGCGACGGATATTATGATTGTACGGACAAAAGCGATGAATATGACGGTTGCGATGAAGACGTAAGTAATTACGAATTTCCTGTACTAATTTCCTGTGTACTATTATATTCGTGAACTGCTTGCGATATTTTTCTGGTACAAAAATTAATTTGCATTTTGTTTATCGTATTAGTTAAAATGTAAGGATCAATTCCAATGTACCAATGGATATTGTATGTCGAAAGAATGGGTTTGCGATGGCATGAAGGATTGCCTCGATGGCAGTGACGAACTGAGTTGTAATTTGTGTTTAAAAAATTTATTTTATAATAATAAGCAAAGGATATTATGACTCATTTTGGCAAGTTAGATTATAGCACATTTGATTTCTGTAAAGTATATTTTGTTCATTTACAGGCATCGCAATAGGCTGCAAAACAGAAAATCATCGATATCAATGTGCAAATTTTAAATGTATTTCTCTTGATCTAGTATGCAATAACATAATCGATTGCACTGATGGATCGGACGAAGGTGGCGCTTGTAACAGTAAGTCGTGTATTTCAGCGAATAAATTTTTTATTTATTACGTACATTGAAGTTTTTGATGTACATCTAATATAATTTTTAAGTGATTAGTTATAACATTATCATAATCTTTTTTCTATCAGGTACAATATCATGTTCATCGGCGGGATGCAGTCACGATTGTATCGTTACACCTGACGGACCTGTTTGCATTTGTCCACAAGGTTACAAATTACAAGATAATCATACTTGTATAGGTAAATCCGTGGCAAATCAATACAACGAATCGTAAGAATCGCAGATCGTTTAATAAGCTGCTCTCCTTTCTTGCAGATATTAAGTGCGAACTTTACGGGGATTGTGATCAACAATGCGTGAACAATAAAGAGTCATACAAGTGTACCTGTCAAGATGGTTACACGTTGCAAGATGACATGAAAACTTGCAAGGCCGATGGTAAATTAATCCACTTGCTCTACAATAAATATACATATAACGAAAATACAAAATCTTTCTTTCGTACTTTAGGTGATGAGGCTGTAATAATATTCGGTGAACAACAAAAAATTCGTGGTATATATCTCGATTCAAAAATAAGCTTTATCTTGGCGGAAAATTTAAATGAGGTTGCCAACTTGGTTGCTATGGACAACGAATACATATACTGGTCAGACGGAAATAAAAAAATCATGAAAGGTACCAAAGACGGAAAAAGAGAAATTATCCTTACAACAGGTAAATAATGTGATTAATAATATTTGTCTGTTACGATCATTGAGGACCAGAGACGAGAAACCATAGAATGAGAAACGGAAATAATATTTTCATTTACACCACACCGGAAAATATTGTCCATTCTTACAATATAAAACAATTATTAAATAAAAGGAAGGTCGCTATTGTGTGTAATTCACAGAATTAAAAAATAACGTGTTATTTATCAAGCGACTTTATAAGTTATTTATTTCAATAACAATTTAATAACGATGTTACTTTTTTTCATTAATAATGGTAGCGGTAACACAATTAAATTTTTCGGATAACATATGAATATAGTGGTTAGTTTCATCGTTGCTTCAAACACGCTGAATACATATATATGGAAAAAATGGTCGGGAAAAAATTCTAAAAATAAATCTTGAAAACTTATTGATAAAAGTAAGTAGCAACGAAAATTATAAATTATTATTTCTTGAGCAATGATAATGATAACAAGTTATATTTTTCAATGGATAACGACTAACAATAACAAATAACTTTTCAAAAGTAACTCCCTCAATTCCGATGACTCATATGCAATGAGCAAACTAGTAACAGAACCAAACGCCGTATATATCATAGATTTCACATGTTTTTACACTCAACGCGAAACCAGTTATCTTCTTTTAAGGTAACAAATAAAAAAACGAATAAAAAATGTCTTATTCAAACTTTTATTAATGTAATATAAATAAAATAATACTTCCATTACTTATATTAGTGTAATATACTTTTATTAATTTAATAAATAAAGTAATACTCTTACTAGGAACACCCTGTTAATATACTCTCCCTTTTTTTTATGCAAAATAAGCTAATTTTATAAAAAAGTATCACATCAGCGAGAAATTAAAATAGAACCTCTTTTCGACCATTTACGTTAACTTATTATTATACTTTATAATTTTTGCATATCTCTTACAAAGGTTTGTACGAACTGTCCGACATAGCCGTGGATTGGATCACAGGTAATATATATTTCACTGATAAGAGTAACATGAATATCGGAGTATGTGACAACAATGGGACGTATTGCACTATATTAATCAATGGAAAAACTAAAAAACCTACCGCGATTGCCTTATTACCGACCAATGGGTAAATATTATATATATTATGAAAATTTAAATTTTGTTGTATAAATAATGATCTTATCTTACTAAAATTAAATCTACTTACATAAATAAAAATTTTACATTCGAATTTTTCCGATCCATTTATCATTGTTTCTTAAGATTAACACAAAAGATCTCTGAAAGTCTATAAAAGTAATGATTCAATTCAACAAAACGTAACAGCAAATTGTTACATAGAAATTACTTGTAGGAGTTTTCTACAAGTAGAAGAAATAATAAGTTTAAATAATTATAAATTAGTTCCTCACCTTGAAATCATAGCGACAAAATTGTAAACTTCGTTAATATTCTCAGAATTTTAATCTACAGACACGCGTATTAAACAAATTAATATATTGATTATATCTTATATTATATATTATACAATAATTATACAATATCTTATATTATATATTATACAATATTATATATTATACAATAATATATTGTGTATTATATATCAAGCAAATCAAATATCAAAATTATTTTGTTTAAATTGGTTGAGTTTAATATGGAATATATATAATTTATATACAATAATACTTACAGAATAATGTATTGGTGCGATTCGAGCCATAAGCAGTACATAGCAATGGCAGGAATGGATGGCAACGATATGACTTTATTCGTCACTAAAAGGATAAAATATCCAAAGAGTTTAACCATCGACTATCCAAACAATCGATTGTATTGGATGGATAATGGTTTAATGACAATTGAATCTATACGATTAGACGGCACCGATCGAAAGGTCAGTAAGTTATACTTTTTTAGTTATGAGACATTTAAGGCACGTAAATAAGAATTAAGGAAATACCCTCCGAATTTTTTGGAATGGAATTTCACTCAAAACAAGTGAAAAGTGGCAATATTTTAACTTCAGGCAATAATGAAACTGTTACCAATTTAAATCGCAAAAGTGAGTGTTTCATTCAAGCTTAGAATTCTTAAGCTTAAACTTCTCAACTTGAACTTTGATTTCATATGATCATATATTTCAATGGATTAGAGCAAATATATTTTTTGAACGGTAAAGTACAGGAAATTTATTCTTTAATTTCGAATAAAATATTTATTCGACGATTCAGGGAAGAGGGATCACTCTGTATGAATAAAAAATCACTCAAATTCGAGTGACTCGGTGATCCGAGTCGCTCCGAAAAGGTTTCACCTTTTCGAGTGAAACTTTACTTTAAGAAAAATTTAATATATATTTGTAATTTAATTATTTACAATTTAATTATAATTATAATTGTAATTTTAATTTAATTATTTATACAGATTGTAACGCGCGAAATAAACTCTCAAGTAATTTCCCTGGAAATTTTCGAAAATAAAATATACTGGAATTTAAAAACAAACCAGAATATACGATACTGCAATGCATCTTCCAAATGTAATCCGGAAATTTTGAGAGCGAATCCTGATTATAGTGCAATGCAGGATATACAAATCTATCATCCCATAATGAAACCAAAAGTATTATTTCTTTTATTATACATCGCGATAAAATCAGTATCGCAGAACAATATTTACATTATCATTCATTTTAATTTTAGGTTCAAAATGCTTGTTTTTTGAAGCCATGCTCGCAACTTTGTTTGTTAAATAAAAATAAAAACTATACATGTGCATGTACTTTGGACAAGAAATTGAACTCCGACGGGCATACGTGTCGAGGTATCTATTTGCTGAGGAATCTATTAAGAAGAATCTATGATCCAGATCAGAAATTTTGAGAATATTTTAGATATATTTTATACATATTTAAGGAGATGTCAAAGTAGATGATGAATTTCAAAAGTGTCGATAACGTAAAGGCGATCGTCATTAAGGGGACGCTGAAATTGAAAACTTTACCGATAGTATATTGATATTTTTCTGCAAAGTTTACGTCGTATTGGTTGTATAGAATTACAAATGCTTTTATGCAAAGAAAGTATAAAATAGAGAAATTACTCAATATGTGATGAAAACGGTAAGAAAATTTAAATGTAAAATCTCAAGCTGTTAGCATAATATTTGCCTGATCCAAAAGTTCCGCAGCTTGTGTATACCGAAAGTGTGAAGGCTCCAATCAAACAAATTTTAGAGAACTAAATTGCTGTATCTTCGTCTTTGAATTCAGAAGCTTAAGAATATCGGAAAAAATTTGCACAAAGATTTTTATATGCGTGATTAAGTTACTTGATAAACAAAGCAGTACATAGTAATGTTCTATATATACAAGAAATACATAAAAGATAGCGTAATTGTATTAGTGACGACCGTCTCTGCAACGTCTGACTTTTTACGTTGACCACAAAATACGTACGTATTAACCAATATTTATTATATTTTTAGACGAACATGTTTATTGTTTTAGACACGGAAAATAGCCAACATATCATTATAGTTGCGGATGGTACATTTGTGAATTATTACCATAATTTGTTTGGCAAGCCAAAAATAGCAAGCAGCGTTAACTTAAAATACATTACCGCGATTACTTATGATTCGCTGTCCGGTATAACAACATTAATATTTCATAAAAAATACATATTACAGAAAGAGAGAGTGGGGCAACGAAGGAAGTATTAAAACTTTAATTACAATTAAAACTTATTTAGGTACTATACTCGCAAGCAATGCCCTTGCTGATAATATCTTTCGCTACGACCCGATCAACGACAAAATTAAGAATCTTATAGCCATGAAGATTGAATCATTGGGAGGAATGGCGTTTGATTATGTTGGTAATAATTTGTATTTGACAAATATAGAAGAAAAAACTATTGAAGTGCATAGCTTAACGACAAAGGCGAAGAAAATTTTTTATTTCGAGGAACAACCTTATAACATCGCATTGGCACCTGAAGAAGGGTATGACATTTAGTTACTTATTTTGTCGTTATAATTTTTATTGTTTCCTTGATTTATAAGTTCGTGCAGATTTTTAAACAAATTTGAAATGCATCTTACTTTATGTTGAAAACAATTTTAATCAGTAATATGTTTGCCATTCTGTCCTACAATATTTTTTGCCATTTTTCATGTAATTTCATAATTCTCCTCTCGTAAAACTTTTATACTTTTTCGACATTCCAAGCGATTGTCCACATCTTCTAAAGAAACAAAGTTTATGTCGCCAAGGGAGTTCTGTATAAGCGGAACATATGATAATCGCGAAAGGGGATAATATCGAATGAATATGGTGGATAAAGTAAAACATTCCATCCAAACTCTAATAATTTTTATAAAAATAAGAAAGTACAATGCACCAGAAAAACTCATTACTGTCTTCTATTATCAAGCTGCAACAACAATAACTGTGTACTTCTTCAAACATCACCATAAAATATACTCTGAAATGTCAGCTATCAAAGCATATATATAGATGATTTCAACTGCGTGTATGGAACTAATACTCTAATACTAATATACGAATACTAGTAAACAAAAATTCGCACGAACTTACGAATTAATCTAATATTTCTGAAAGAATGTATCACGTCTTGTATGTTGTAGCATAATGTTCGTAGTGTTCAAAGTAAAGGATAAATATCGTATAGATAAAATGCAAATGGATGGAACGGGTATGAAATCGCTGTTTGTAGAGAGCAAGTTGCTAAAAGGTCCAAGGATATCATTGTACTATCATACGGACGAAAAAAAAATTTATTGGGCTGATCAGGGCACTTACAGTATCCAAAGCGCCTTGTTGACAGGTTTGCATTCTAGCTCTTATAAATATGATAAATACGTAATTAATCGTTTGAACGCTAAGAAAACTCGATTGTGCGTTGCTTTTATTCATAAGTGCCAATCCTTCATCTCAGTAAGCTTCACTGAAAAAAAAATTAATTGTCAGATTCTTTATTAGATTTGATTTCCAGGTTTGAGCCGCGTGAATTCTTCTTTGTCTGATTCCAATGTTTCGCGAATATTTTAATTCGCTTTATCAGAGAGTAACGACCTAATGCTAAGTTGCTTCTCAGCAAATATCCTTTATATAGTGATTGACATAGAGAGAAATATCAAGGAGGTGAAAGGTAGTTGCGAAGAAGAAGAGAGTGGTAGAGAATTGTTGGCCGGTCAGGTTTTGAAAACCAGGAGCAATTGCCAGATTGGATTGATCTCTTGTCCGAAACGTCAGAATCAAACAAAGTGGAATTTACGCGGTTCAAATCCGGAAATCAAATCTAATATTCGTGAACACTGCAAAAGCACTCAAATATCAAACGTTCAGATTCTATTGTAACGCACCGTTATGATTGTTATAGAAATTTAAGAAACTTTATTACGAGATCGAATTTTAACATTCATAATTTGTGTCATAAGTGCCTCATAGAAAGTAAATGAAAAACGTAACGAAAAATAGGGGCGCGATCGCGTTACACGACACTTTTAAAACAGTAACAGCGCAATCGACATTTTTCACGCGTATTTTGCAACTATCGATGGCACTCAAACGGTTAAGATAAAAAGTCTTATTTCGTAAAATTTTAAGACGTATCGCAAACAAATGGTCAAATTTTCAGGTTTTGATTATCAGATCCTCCGCACCAGCTTGAACGAACCTATGAGCCTTACCATTGCAGGAGAATATATTTTCTGGACACAACGCCGTTTGACTAAACTATTTTGGGCGAACAAAAACAATATTGAGAAAAAATATTGGGAGAAAAACTTCGCAGAAGTTTGTGAGTTTGTATGTTTGACGTTTCAGCAACAAATAATATACATCTGTGAGATGTCAAGTCAAGTAAATTTATTCTTTCTAGACAAAGAAACAGAAATTTCTCATTTGATAACGGCACACAGAAATATAGACGGCTATCGTATAAACTGTGGAAACTGTTCACACGTGTGCTTACCTTCGTCTGCAAATTCATACGTAAGTACACTTTATGCGTGATCAAAATGGTAATATCATGCCCTGACGCATGTCGTGCATATCATGCATTTAACGAAAATAGGCGAACATTTCGTGTACGATTAGAATATAATGACGTTAACGTCACTTCATATACTGCTATACATGTGTCAATTTTGTAAACATTCTTCGAGAGAATCACGTATCGTTTGGAATCACTTGCCTGATTTCAAATACTTGGTAACTTTTAGCTCTGCGCTTGCCCACCTGAGATGACGTTAAGCGCGGACAACCACACATGCATTTTGCAGTACACATGCTCCTCCGGCGAAATTAAATGCAGTGAACATGACATCTGCATAAAGTGGTACCAGTGGTACGTTTTACCATCGTTTCCTTACATCATCCAAGTGGTTTTTAAATAATGTAAATTATATAAATCCTGTATGTATACATGGCGTACGACAGAACGCATACGTCTGCTTGTATATAGGTAGAACCAGTGATAGAAACTTTACTCCGCGAGTAGCACGCATCAGCACGGGAGGGGATCAGGTATGTCAATTCAAGTGCATTTTCAGCACGTTGACAGCGCGCAGAGGGGATGGCTCCCATGTATGCGTGCTCTGTCCGTGAGAGCTTCTCACTTCAGCCACAGTTCAGCGCAGTGAGACTCACTGTAAGAGGCGCACACGCACAGGGCACGCATGCATGGGAGCCATCCCCTCCACGCGCTGTCAGCGTGCTGCAAATGTAACTGAATCGGCATCCCTGATCCCCTCCCGTGCTGATACGTGCTGCTCGCGGAGCAAAGTTTCTATCACTGGTTGAACTAATCGAGTTTAATGAGAAAGTTCTTTACTATTTTACAAACAACTATGATTATTGACATAATAGTTAAAGAAAATTGATGATTAAGTACGCATGATGCAGTGGGACGAACGCCTTAAATCCAATCTTGTTCAAAATGTCTGAATCAATTGGTAAACTGTTGGTAACGACAGGTGTTCTTATACTGGAGAGTGGTACTGGATGAACTGTAATGTTGAACAGTGGAGGCATTTAGCACACATTCGTTTATTCCTTTTTGTACAATAATTGTAATTTCGTGTTTGCAAAATAGCGAAAGACTTTTTTTTCACTTTAATGAGTTCTATTTGCACACAAGTGATTATACACGTTGTGTCAGTATAGAACAAATTCCGTACAGAATTCTGTGTAGAAAAAGCATTATTTATTGTCACATTTTCTTTGATAATTACGATATGTGACACACATTGACGGGTTATACACAGATTTAACATGTTTAACATTTCATTGTAAACCTAACCTGTTTGACGCATGAATGATTTCTTATGAATATATATTTACCACAGCGATAATTTTTTATTTTATGTATACATAATCAAATGAAATTTATTTTATATTATTATATAAAAAGAAAAATACACAGCAGTCTGTGACAGACGGTTGTTTAGATCAGCGATGATAGCAAACATGTTGTCACCTCTAAAATATTTTCTGAGTATCTAAGTAAATCTAAAAGAGATATCCAATAATATGTTTTGAACAAACTATTGCATATAATATAAAAATATTGTGAATATGTTTGTGAGTTATGAAATTTTATGATTTGTTTAGGTGCAATGGCATTAAAGAATGTCCGAATGGCGAAGACGAATCAAGTTATTGTAAGAAAAACTGTCAGATGTTGAATGACGATAAATCGATGAAACCGGTTGAAATCTGCGCTATGAATTACACTATGCATTAGTTTTTTGTATTCATTATATAATTTACGCAAAATATTTAGTATTATTGCGTATTGTATAAATAATATTAAAGTATATACAATACTACTGATACACTATATACTATACTGCCACTATAATATTTCAATTGAATATTTTATATTTTATATTTTATGAAATGTCAAGAGATTGAGGCAACTATGCATATTTTTTACTTCTGCTTTTTAACAGACAATAAAAAATTTACAAATATATATCTATAAAGATATTTTCTATATTTTTTTAAACATTTACTCTAATTTCCTGAATATTTCCCCTTAGTTTAGCATTTAACTATCAGAATATATTTAAAACATTTCTTCGACGTTGTTTTTAAATTGTTTAAACTGTAGACACAAATGGAGCTTTTATAAACCTATGTGAAGCTCTCTTTTTCTCTCTCTATTTAGCCTATTAGTGCATTTATTTTCTATTTAGCCTATTAGTGCATTTATTTTCTCAATTGCAAACGCTGACATGATAACGTGAGAGAGCTTGTTCGACTATTCATTTTATAGGATTAACTATTTGAATAAGCATTCATGGAGGACATATGTCCCGCCGGAAAGAGCGCATAGATACTAGTATACGGAATACTTTCTCTGTAAACGCACTGAAAGATGTGTATCCCGTGGATCACTGGTTACGATCCTCGAAAATTTATATCGACTTATATCGATGATACTAAGCGAAAGACAGAGACCCAGGCCGAGTACCTGGAATGCCGATTTGATCCCCCTAACTGCTTGCTCGAACTCGATTTATTACTGAGCCCGGCCCGTTTCTGGGGACGTATTATCGATAAGGCAAGGGGACCTGCCGGCCTAAGGTCCTCAAAAATGTGCGTATTATTCCGTAGGCCCTATTCGTCGATCTTATTCGTTTCTTTTGCTGTTTTCCATTCAATATTGCGTGTCACGATAGGTCATTCCAATTTCAGTGAAAAAAGTCGTTGCTAATTAAACTTAGCAATTTCAGCATCAAAGAATATATATACGAATATACAGGATATGGAAACCCTGAAAAATCTCAAAAAAATAAGTTTTACAGAAAAATGTTTCAAATAAAAGTTGTAGGATTTAAAAAGGTTTATTCAATAGTCTCATCAGTTTAACCCTGGCTGGCGTCGTTAAGGTGAAGTCAAAGTCACCTTAAATTTTTTAAATAGAGGCACCTTATTTTTTATTGCATATTCTTATAGTCTTTCTCAATACCTTTTCAAAGCACTATAATTTTATTCATTTTGGGTCATCCGTTTCAAAGTTATTGAATATTTTATAGTAAGAAGTAATAGACACCCGAAGATAAGGTCGGAATATGATCCAGTCAACTAAGGCAAGATCGGAGGATGATCTAAGCTCTTAGATATGTGTGTGTGTGTGTGCGTGTGTGTGTGTGTGTGTGGTGATGTAACGTTACTTTTAAAGTTGGTGTTTAACGAATATTCTTTCAGTAAATATTAACTATCAGTAACATAATATCAATGTTATAATTTCCTATCATTTCCTTTCATATTCGATTTCTCTTATTTTATTATATAGAAAGGTGTTAAAGTAATGCTATCAAAGAGTGAACATAGATGTACATTTTATTTATGAATTTAAGAATAATAATGCACTTTATGCACAGATAAAGATGTACAAACCCAGTAAACACCAACTAACAATAACATAACATTAATGTTATAATTTCCCATTCAACAATATAAATGGAATATAATCTGTTTTATGTAACAGTTATATTCTTGCGCGCTATGACATTGCACTGTAAACGCTTTCATGCTATCAAAAATTTCGTAAGAAATTGACGCGAAGCGTCTTTTATTAATCACAGCGTATCGGAAGACTTATGCTAAATATTCCGCTTGTTGATTATAAATTATCAATGCTCCACCGTTTTTACTGATGCGACTATTCATTCGACAGCTGACGTTGACAGAAATGCTTCGGTAATATATTAAGTTGTTTCATAATTTTGTAGAGATTTATACCAAGAGTTAAGGGGATGCCGGAGTGAGCGACAAACTTGATAAGGGTCGATAACGTAGAGCGATCGTCAAAAAGTCAAAAAGAAAAAGGTTATCTTCATTTCGACAATGTCGAATTTATATACACATATATACTTATAGAATAAAGACAATCGTCAAATAGGCGCTAACATGATATCGCTATCATCCTTTCACAGATGTTATGCAAATGTGCTATGTTGTCATTTCAATTTTCTTCCACATAGACATTACATAAGTGTGAATGCCACGTTGCCGATATTCGCATTCTCTCCAAAACAGGCTTTTGCTGCTTTTCTGATAAATTCTTCAAACCGATTGTGTACTGAATGCATCAAAGAAAAAGTTTATAGAAAAGAGTGTTGTAGGCGCAAGCGTAGTTTGCGAATAATATTTTGAAGAATACGTTACCTATTATTTGAGATTTCAATATAATTAGCAACGGTAATTTGAGATATTTAAAAGGTGTGTTGAATAAAATTTGTTTCCAAGAGATATCACACCTATATGATAGTAATTGTGCATTATCGTTTTCGTCTCATATTGATGGATGCTCCGCTTCATTTTCGCATGTATTTTCACCATGCAAAAGGGTTTTTAATTCGACGCAGGTGGAAGGAAGTAAACTTTGCAGAAAAATTTGATTCTGTGGTAGTAATTATCTATTATCGTTTTTGTTTCATATTGTGGGATGTTCCGCATCATTTTTGCATATATTTTCACTATGCAAAAGGGTTTATAATTCGACGCAGATAGAAAGAAGTAAACTTTGCAGAAAGATTCGATGTCGTGATAGTAATTGTGCATTATCGTTTTCGTATCATATTGATAGATATTCCGTTTTATTTTCGCACGTACTTTTACTATGTAAAATTGTTTTTAATTCAGTTCAATCAATAGGACGTAATCTTTGCAGAAATATTATTATTTTGCCTGGAATTTTTATTATATATATTTATATGTATATATATAATGCCGCGACATCGGAATAAACAGTTGCGTGGGCTCTGAGAAAACTATATATTAATAATATATAATCTGAATATTCCGACATTGTGAAATGTGCTATAAGATTACGGTGCCATCTCGAAAAATTCGTGAACTGATTTTTTGTTCTACTTTATCATAATTGTCGGAATACCTAACCGCATGTTCTCATAAATTTTTCTGCAAACTTTTCGTATCTTTTTTAGCATCAAAACTAAATTTTGAAAGTGTAGTAGTGATCTTTGAATTTTTCCTGATTGGAGCATTCACAGTTTCAGTATGTACAACCTGCAGAATGTTTGTATTAAACAAATATTGCACTAACTGAAAATTGCACTAAGCTCAAAATTTAATTTATATAAATTTTTTTCGTTTTCGTCACATATTGAACAATGCTCCAATTTATTTTTGCGCGTACTTTTGTTGTGCAAAAGCGCTTGTAATTCCGTGCAAGCAACTAGACGTAAACTTTGCAGAAAAAGTCAATGTTTTTTTTCATGTCCGGCATCTCCTTAAGGACGGATTCCTGAGTTAATTTGAAGAAAAAAATCCTAATGCAAAAATGTCGAGGCTATAATACTTTTCAAATTATAAACGATTTAAGTTGACTAATTATATTGGCTAAAGTACGCGCGCTCAGGTACGATATAACACATAATGGTACAGGTGCATGCACATAACTGAGAATTTACATACGATATGAAATTAGTTATAAATTCCTGAAAAAAACATCAAATGTGTGACAGCTTACTGATTCTCATAAATGTATTATGTGATATTTTATTCATAAAATTTTGACGAAATTGTTATTATTTGCGATATGTTTATTTAAATAATAGAAAAGGCAGGTTATTGTTACATATATTGTTGTATGTATAAAACTTCTATATCAATATTTGGAAAAGAGACGATATGTGCATGCACCTGTATCATTATGTATTGTATCGTACATAAGCGCGCGTACTTTAGTCAGTATAATTGGTCAACTTTAATCATTTATAATTTGAAAAGTATTATAGCCTCACCACTTTTGCATTCGAATTTTTTAATTCAAATTACCTCAGAAATCCGCCCTTAAGAGACGGTAGTGACGGAACACCCTGTATATAGTATAAATATATATAGCATATAAAATAAAAAACTATCTCGGCAAAAAATATCACGCGATAAATCTCATATATTCGGAATGCTTGCTGCTTGATATAGCAAAATTGCCGCGATTGACTTTTGTTCGCAGAATACTAATTACGAAAATTATTTTATAAATTACCTCAAAAAAGAGATAATCACTATACATGTTCGCCATTCTAACATTCTTTTCACATACATAGAAAAATTGGCTACATTAATAAAATATCAGAAACAAAAACATTCTAATTGGAACGAATGCTCTTGATTTAACAGTAGTATTATTCAAATTAATACTTGAGTTATTAAAATAATAACATCATGTCCAATATAATAGCATCAGTTCCAAAAATATTGTAATGGAAAATATACTGTATACAAATATATATATATATATATATATATATATTTATAATTATATTTATTTATTTATTTATTTATTTATTTATTTCAACCTTTCAAGTGATAATTACTGTGGAATTTTAACGATTCTAACTGACAAAAAGAAATCTTTATCTGCAAAATCAAACAAAAAGAACTTTACTTAAAAACAATTAGTGTATTTCATAAACAATATGCGTAACAGCATGCGTATACAATTAGAATTTCTCTCCATAAAATATTGTTTAATATATTAGTTACGCGTAAATTAAAATACGTTGCGCAGCATTAATCATGAGGAAAGTGTTATAAAATACATAGATGTCGTATGAGTATGGGAATGAGTAGATAAGATAAAAGTTTTGTATAATTTGAAATGTGCTTTGAGATAAGAAAAGACGGGAATATGCTGCTACCTCCGCTGCCAAATAAAGTTGCAGACTGAATCGCTGATCGCAGTCAGTTTTCGAAACGTACATGTCCAGTGCAGTTCGTCATCATGACGCATAAAATTTGTTTTGTAAAGGTATGTTTTGCTAATAAAGGTTAAATCCTATCTTTCTTTTCACTTTTTCTTCTCTACTTGGCTAATTCAATTTTCGATTGTTACAGTATCTTAAACTATATATTTCTTGTCATGATCATTGTATTTATTAGTATTTTTATTTTTAATTTCTTAGATTATTATTATCTTTAATTTATTATTAATTTTTACTTTTAACTTTCATTTTGTTCTTCCTGTTTCACATTCTTTTATATTTCTTTTTTTTTTAAAAATTCTTTATAATGGTAGCAAAATCTAACTAATTTTATTACAATAATATTTTTAATGCTTTTACTTACAGGTTATGTTTCATATTGCGGGACTATTACTTCTGTGTAATTTTTTAAAAATTTGTTCTGGCAGACGTAGTCATCCTATAAATAGTAAGTTCAATATCACATTTAAGATGGTTGTATCGTTAGGTATTGTATTTTTAGTAGTGTATCAAAAAGGGGTATCACTGGTGAATATACTATTTATTTAACAAAATTATGCTTCTATATATATGCTATTGAAATAATAAATTTTAATTCGAAACGAAGTTAATACATACACACAAACACACCAACGTACACACACATATACATATGTGTGTGTATATATATGTATACATATATAAATATGTGTATGTGTATATACAGGTCGTAAAAAAATTAGACCGACAAACTTTGAGGAGAAATAGAGGTCATAAAAACTAACATATTTTGTTAATAATGTTTTTCTTTACGACGCTTCGTTTTAATACTACAGGGTACAAAATAGGAATTTTATGATTTTAATAAAAAACAAATATATAAGTGGAAAAATTAAATTTATTTCAATTACATATATATATTTTAATCTTCAAAAAACAATGAATAAAAGAACGGAACAAAAATGCGCAATTGATTAGCTCAATTTATAATAAATGTTCAAAAATTCCTCCATTTGCTTCATACATACATAATATGTATGTATGGAAAAATGTTTAATATAAAAGTTGTAGGTTTTTGAGGGGGACATAAAAGACTACTATTTCTGACCTTGGATGGAGGCGTTAAGGTCACGCCAAAGTCAACTTGAATTTTTTAAATAAAATATCCTACTCTTTATTGCATATTCTTGTAGTTTATCTTCAGAGCTTTCCAAAACACTATAATAACGTATTTTTTCATTAAGTATTTTTTGAATAATGAAACTTGGAAGTTGCAGTACCGCCGGCATTATAAATTGAGCTAATCAATTGCGCATTTTTGTTCCGTTCTTTTATTCATTGTTTTTTGAAGATTAAAATATATATATGTAATTGAAATAAATTTAATTTTTCCACTTATATGTTTGTTTTTTATTAAAATCATAAAATTCCTATTTTGTACTCTGTAGTTAAAACGAAGCGTCGTAGAGAAAAATAATATTAACAAAATATATTCGTTTTTATGTCCTCTATTTCCCCTCAAAGTTTGTCAGTCTAATTTTTTTACACCTTCTCTCTCTGTGTGTGTGTGTGTGTGTGTGTGTGTGTGTGTGTGTGTGTGTGTG